CAGCAGGAGCTCAACTGAGTGGCTAAAGGTAATGAAAAAGACTTGTAGAAACGTCTATAGCCTATTTAAAGAAATTTCTTGGGAATTTAAACATTTCTTTCCCTTATCAGGCAGGCAAAGGAATTCAGTGCTTATATCTGCTTGGCACTCCTGAAACCCCCTAAGTCCCTTGGACCATCAGTGGCATTAGCTGGCATTTGGAAACAGGACCTCAACTTCTAAAAAACTTGGTTGCTTTGCAATATTTTATCCCACACCCTCTGCAGTCCCATGGCTTTGCATAGTTTTTACTGGGGCATTTGGCCATAGTGACCTGTCTGTGTAGACTTTCAGGTTCTGCAAGACTGATATTTTAAAACAGTTTCTACCTTAATTTTGGAAGCAAGGCTGATGATGTCTTGGTAGGGAGATGTAGATGTTCAACTCACTCAAGAAACATCATACATTTGTGTTATTAATGGTGAAATAGTCACTAATCTCAGCATTGAAGCTGGTATCCTAGTAATAAATGCTCAAATGGGGTGGGAAGAGTTAAAGCAATAACTATGCCCTTCTCCAGAACTTCAGCACACATGGTCTTCTCCTGCACTGGGCATGGAGTAAGCACATATCCTCCTGGAGGACTGGGATATGGAAAGGGGAGCTTCAAAGTCCAGCTTTCATAATGGTCTGTCCTCTCTCTGCTATCGTAACAGTGAAACATAACTGTTGGCTGGTCCTTCCCAGTCCTGCTGCAGTGCTGAAGGGCCAACCAGATTGTCCCTTCATTCTGGTCTACAAGTATTTGGTTTTCACTTCTCACTCTATTACACACAGATTTGGACTAGTCTACTGGACGGGCTAGCTCTTTCTCTCTCAGATTTCTACAGCCTTATTGCTCCCATCCCTGCACAATTAGGAGAGGAACAATCACTGCCCAAAATAATATTTGATGAACCAAATGCAGTGAACTGGGGGTGTGAGTGTGGATGTACCCGTGACACTGCATTAACACTTTCTGATGGTTGGCTCACACTGACAGGTTTGAAACACCCCAAACAGCATCGGAGCAATAGGACTCTCTGCAAATCTTCCACCCCTTCCAGGAACACCCCTCCTTGTCAATAAAGACCTTCTCCTGCCTGTATTACCATTGCCACATCTGCTTGGAAGATCTGCTTGATGAACTTGTTTTTTGAGGAATGCACCAGTTGAATGATGTCTCCATGCAGTGTGTCCCTGTTTTTCTCCAAGAAACCTAGAGGAATAAGGGGACAATACATAGACAGACAGATGACATAGTGCAACATAGCCAGGATGTGCCATGCAAGCAGCCTCTGAGCTGCTGAACTACTGGCTGTTATCGGGGAGGGGGTAATGAGTGGGCAGAGAAAGGGAGATCAAGAGAAGGAAAACAGAGGCCCATCTTGAGACTGGATCAAAGACACGTGGTGTAAAGCACTGCAATGCTGTCACATGAATGAAGCAGCACCAAACTCTGCAGCTCATGGGCACCACTGAAGGGCCAAGTCATTGCAGCCAGAAAAAGAGTACACTTGATACTACTAGGGGCTACCATCCTGCTCTGCTCCATGGCGGCAGCAGCTCACCTTCCCCTGAACATCCCCTCACACCTGCAGTGCCCCAGAAGCTGCCCCTTACCTTTTGTTTCATAGTAAACAATTCCAGCAAAGTGGTTAATGCCAAATTGGGTTTCATAGTTATTCTTCGGAGGAATATAGTTGGTGTTGAGCTTGTGCTGGGAGTTCAGCTTGTGTAACATGGTGGCGTCTGTACCCTGTGCACACAGGAAAAGATCTGACATTTAACTCGGGTTTGTCCCATTAAAATAATTTTTCAATCAGCATTTTTTTTTGTCTCAGGTGACAATGTGTATTTATTTTGAGAAGAGATGTGTTGGAAGGGGTATCTCAAATGCAGAAATTGAAGAAATGAAATAAACATCACTGGCATGTTGTGCTATAGTCAAGATAGTGCTCTAAAGGAAGTATATTTAATATTTCCTCTTAAACTTTGTCAAAGGCTATTCTTGAGCCCCTTGCAGACTTATTCTTTCACCAGAAATGGTAACTGTTTTTAAGCATGGTTGTGGTACTCATGGAAGAAAATGTGACAAAGCAATAAAAGCAAGGAATATGTAACCCACTGGTGAATGTGTGCTTGAGGCTGATCAGCCGCCTCATATGGTGCCAGCACACAAAGTGCAAAGGGGTTAAAACCAGGAAAGTCATTGGCAGCAGGGCTGAGCCCAAAACACACCTTGGGGAACTTGCTCTCCTCGTCAATGAGGGAGATGATGTTCATGGGTTTGATGGCAATCATGTCCAAGGCATCCTGGTTATCAGTGAACTCAATGTGCTGCCAGTTGATGTTCTCCAAGTTGTACTCCTCCTGCTCTAGTTTGAAGACGTGGCGCACGAAGAACTGCTGCAGGTTCTCATTCGCAAAGTTAATGCAAAGCTGCTCAAAACTGTGGAGGGAAGGGCAAGGAAAGGCCACTTCAGATCCACCATGCTCTATAAAGATAGAACATCCATCTCTCTCCATGCTTGAAGCAGTACTCTCAGACCCTCATCAACCATTCAGTAAGGTTGCTGCTGGCTGAGAATCTCCCCAAAAACAATGTTATAGCCATTATATGTATGTAGGCTAAATCAATCAGTTGGAGGTTATCTCCTATGGCTACTGGGTGGCCAATGCTTGAACAACTAAAGGAAATGTCTTGCTTGTTCCAATAGAAGAGTGATTAGTTCTGATAATCTCTCATACAGAAAAAAGCTTTGCCCAGTCCAGTCCTGTTCATCTCAGGAGACATGAAAGGACTGCAAGACCTTAGGGTGGTGAAGGAGGCTCAAAACCTGCTTCTCCTTTTGTAGGCTCCATACCTGTTCACAGTGAAGTTCTCAAAGCCAAAGATGTCAAGGAGGCCGATGGATCTCCTGACACTTTTGAGTTCCTGGGAAGGAGGTCTGTAAATTGCAGCGTTGATCTTCTCCACGATCCACACGAAAAGCCGCCCATAGATTCCCTGCAACGTCCCAAAGATGGAGCTCACTGAGACAGGTTAGCAGTTCACCCTGCTAGTCTGTAGCACCATTCAGATGGCACGGGCTTACCCAAAGCATGGCCAGCAACTGGGCAGTCCTTGAGGACACCTATATTTATGCCAGACTCTTGGAATGGTTTGAACCTTCAAGAGCTGTTATGTAGATCAAGGAGAATAGATCTGAAAGCTTAGATGAAAGACAACTGAAAGCAAACCACCTAAATTTTGGATCTATGAGCTTGCTCTTAAGCCAGACAGTCCTTATCTTTGTTTTTAAACATCTCTCTCCATACATCAGCAGAGCCATGCTACACTGTTAAACAAGCCAAGGACATCTTGCCTGGACAAGGTGCTGACTTAAATGTTGCAGCACCAGTTGAACAATTTCTGATTCAACAAAGCAGCTGTTGCTGCTTCAGTAATTCCACAACTGCATGTTTTAAAGTGTTATTAATTTCTTTTGCATGACCTACTGCAGTACCACCAGGAGTACCACCTGATCCAAAGGCCCATCACCAATACAGAAGTCACCATCTGGATTTGCAGACCAGTTACGTGTCAAGTCAGCTAGCCTTATCTACCAGTCCCGCATAGATGGAGGAGCCCAAGTTGGCCATGGTGCCCACCAAAGATCAGAGCCACATTTGCAGCAGGCCACCAACGTTTGCTCTGCAACTTTACATAGGGCTGCAAACAGCATGTCAGTAATGCACACCCACCTCATCAACCTTCATCACCCCAAAGCCTCAGGTGATGCTAAGTGCTCTGGTGGCTGCTGAATTGCCCTATCCCTACTCCTGTGACATTCAGCTTTATTTACTGCTGCAGACATGCCCAAATCCTGAAATTCAGGTGTGAGTGTTACAGGTGTTGATGGAGCTGTTCTAATTTATAGCAGCTGAGGATCTAACCTGGGGGCTCAAGCTGGGATGTTTTCCTGAAATTGAGGTGAAATAATTTCAGAATGCTGGCTCCTTCTACAGCTCACCCTTGAGCACAGGCAGTCTCAAGCACAGATTGTAAACCACCTTAAAACCAGGATGTCTAGATTCTTTCCATCTCAACTCTTTGTGTATCCCAGTAAGAACATAGTTTCAAGGTCATCTGCTGATCTGAGCTCACATGGGCACCAAGCAAGACACTTTTCCTGTGCAGTGGATGCTCTGGTCTCAAAACCAGCAGATTTTTTCAGTATATCAACAAAAGCAGCAAGGAATGCCCTCAGCTTTACCTTTACAAAAGCATCCCTCACATCCAGCGCTTGTTCCATGCTGAGAGGGGTGGAAACGGTCTCACCCCTTGTGATTATAGTCCGGCTGGTGAGGCAGTTCATCACGTCCTGAGAGTCAACCTGGCAAAGATACCACCAAATACAGCTGTTGACTTTACAACACGAGGAGTCTTTACAATGGCCTGGGCCACTGGCCTGAATGTGCATGGCCAGAGAGGAACAGTGCAGCTCCCCATAGCTGGAGATCATAGAATCATAGAATCACAGAATGGTTAGGGCTGGAAGGGACCTTCAAAGGTCATCTAGTCCAACCCCCCTGCAAGGAACAGGGATATCTCCAACTAGATCAGGTTGCTCAGGGCCTTGTCCAACCTGGCCTTGAACGTCTCCAGGGATGGAGCATCCACCACCTCTCTGGGCAGCCTGTTCCAGTGTTCTACAACTCTCATGGTAAAAGAGATAAACGACTTTTCTTAGCTGTACAGGTCAGATATCTCAAATGATGTCACAGGCATTTTCAGAAAGAGTAATTAATACTTTTATACAGTGTTTTACTGTGGAAAGTGTTCTTGTGACTTAGTGTGAGATGTTAATGAGGTGTGGGGAGAGAAGATGAAAAAGCAAAGCCTGTGAAGCTGTACTCTACCAGTGTAAATGTAGCTTTGCATCCCCTTGACCTCTTTTCATACTTCTGAAATCAAGCCAGGGAAACGTTCACCCCCTAAAGTAGATGAAAACAGCCTGCAGACAGCTGTAGATGATGCTCTGGGACCAGTGGTGCCTATGGAGATGAGATGGTGTCTCAGGGAGCCCTGTTATCTGCTGGGGAGGCCTCTGAAGAATGCTCCAGCCACTGCATGGATGATTTGGGTGAGGATCCTCTTACCTCACTTCAGATACACACAGCATAAGGGACATCTCTGTCTCAGCTACTGTAATGCACTCTCTCTACATCAATGATGCAAACATTCTATTTTAGGGACTGAGCTATTTTGGACGTCCTTTTTAGGATGACGTGCCACCAAAGCGTCTCCTAGAGCTGGTGGTGTAAGGAGACACTGGCTCAGATGAGGCTTTGCCACAACACTGGGAATATGGGAACCAGCCAAAAAGGGGACAGCAGCACCGCAGAGCCACTGACCTCCAGCAATGATGCCGCAGTGATTAGCGACGCCGACTGAACAACCTCGCAGGCATCCAGGTTGTCATAGGTCCGAGCTGGGGGAAGAAAGGCAGAAGGAAAGAAGTCAGCAGGGGACACCACTCTGCAGAAGTTAGATGGGATGAGGGAAACGGTCTTTCTCCACTGCCTCCGTGTGATGGACAGGAAAAATCTGGCCATCAGAAGGGAGAGAAAAGTTCATGTGGCTGCTGGAGTCCTGCTGCTGGCTGAGGGACCTGTACTCTGATCTGCCAGCCACTCTGAATGACTTACTGGCTGAAAACGTTTCTAGCATGTAAGTGCTTTAGGCTTTATGTCTTCCAAAGAGGCTTTGTAAATCACCGTGTCATTTCTGACAGCAGGGCGGTTTGGTACCTTTACGAAGGCACTTCCAACCACACAAACACTCCATTAGTCTCTCCTTGTAAAACCTGAGTCTACCAAATGGCCACTGCATTTGGAGAAGGTGCATGTCACTGAACATACTGGAGTCTGGCAGCTCTGCAGAGTGGGCAGGTGGACTTATTCCTCCTTTCTTGTCCTTACAGACCACAATAAGCACCTGAGTCCCTGGCATGGCACCATGGCAGGTGGTCTGGATACAGCCTTCCATCCCTAAGCTTGGCCCCCTCTCACCGTGCAGAATAAGGAGTAGAAGTGTGTTGGACCACGTCCCTGTGTATTGTCCTTTTACCTTCATATTGCAGGTTTCCCATGTGCAGGATGGCAGCCAGCAGCTTGGAGATCTCCCAGTTCTCCGTGTCGGTGAACATAAGGACCTTCATTGCGGAGCGAATGTTGGCGTACTCCTTGCTGTCATCTCTGCCATCGCAGGTCGTGCAGTTGCCCTGGGGAGGCGAAGAGGTGGCACAGTGCATAGGGTGAAGCAGAGATCATGTGAGGGTAACCCTGAGCTATTCAGGGCTTCCTCTTAAATCAGTAACCATTTTGTTCAAGGGATGAATAAGCCAAAGACAATGTTGAACCTGCGGATCTGGCTCTGCCCTTTGGTGTATACTATGATTTCGTACTCAGCCTTGTGATCTGCACTTACCCTGCTGTCCCCAGCTACACTGTCTCTGGCTGCAATCAGCAGAGAAGAAAAAGCTCCCTGAGATGGGGACAAAGAGCAAGAAGGAAACGTGCCAGAGGCTCCCACTAATCCAGCTAGAAAACTGGGTGCCAGCCTTGCTGGTGGTGGGTCAGTCTTAACTACATCTGCTTCTACCAGGTCTTCTGAATTGCTACACTGGTACATAGGCACTGGGGCTGGAGGCTGCTGGCTCTGTCAGGCATGTGGAGCAGACAGCTCAGCACCGTATGCTGCTGAGAATGCACCAACCAGCCATGCACTCCTCCCCATCCATCACTGCTGCAAGAGCATCAGGTCGTATCTAACACCCTGGTTATTTCCAAACAAGTGGTCTGGGCACCAAACACCAAAACCATCCACGTGTGTGTCCTGCTCCACAGGAAGAGTGGAAATAACCTGTCTTGTACATGGATGTTACAGGTTTGTACTAAGACCATGACTTGCAGTGATGGGACAAAGAAGTCCCACAAACCCTGTGGCTAAGACTCAGGAAGGTCATAACCAGCAAAGCAG